CTTAAATAGGGTTCCCAAAGAAAAAGTAGTAAGTAACATTAAACATTTCTCTTATTTTGTCCCATAAAGACAAAAACTTTATTACAGCCTAATTCTTGAATTTGGGAACTTCCCATTTAGACTAGTGATTTTCAAATTACTCCAAGTAACTCAGAAGTTTTCATGAGCATGACTCAGGGATCATGACGGGGAGATGGGAACTAGGAAAGCAGGCTAACACATTCCCACAGCAACTAACAGAGCACCTCTGTGATGTGTTTAATATATTATGTTTCTATTTATATTAGTTCATTTCTGTTGCTTATAACAGAATATCTGAAACTGGGTAATTTATAAAGGAGTGAAATTTATTTCTCACAGTTTGGAGGCCAGCGGATGCTTCTGGTGAGGGCCTTGTTCTTGCTGGAAACTCTCTACAATGAGGCAGGGTGTAAAATGGTGAGAATGGGCTAAGCAAAGAGTTAACCTTCTCACTTGCTGTCCTTTTAAAGCCATCAGAACCACAACCATTATTCCATGAATGGATCAATCCATTCACCAGGACACAGTCCTCACAATCTAATCATTTTTTAAAGGCCCCACCTTTCAAATGCCATAATTGGATTTCTGACCCTTTTAACACCGTTACAATGGAGATCAAGTTTCCAATACATGAACTTTTGGGGGACACGATCGACCCATAGCACTATATAATATTTTCTAACTCCACTACTTACTCTTGTAACCTTGAACAACTTATTTAATCTCTCTGTACCTCACTTCATTCATTTTTAGTCTTGGTAGTAATAATACTTGTCTCATAAACTTGTTTTAAAATTTAAATGAGTTAATACACATACAGCAGATATAACAGCACCTGACACACAATATGTGTTCAGTAAGTAGTCTTACTCTTATTGCTGTTTTTATTAAAGAAAGTGCTTTGCTGCTTAAAAGGAAAGGTTTGCAAATATGAATGATGGATTATCCTGACATTCAATAAAGGAATCACTTCTTCAGGCTTCCTGACAGGTATTCACCTGGCTTCCAATGGAACAGTTAAAATGATGGGGTGCTCATTACCTCCAGTCATTTTCAAAGATCTCTGATCATCACAAAGTTACTTTTTCTATCATGACAAGATCTATTATGTCCAATAAGACCACGAATATAGATTATTTGCTTATTTTACAATAGTCCTAAAGGATTTTCTGATTCTTTTCTTCTCTAGACCACTGTCACCATCATCATCTTCATCATCATGGTCATTGTCATCAAATACTAACATTTGTTGGGAACTTACTATAAGCCAGATCCTGGATAAGTGCTTCCCATATAAAATCTCATTTAAAACTCACAACAAGCTTATGATGAAGGTGCCATTATTAACCTTATCCTGAAAGCTCATTTAAAAAATTATTCTGGTATTTGTTGAAACAGGAAGACATTTTTGAAGACTATTACAATAGGAGTATTGTAATAGGAGGGAAAATTGAGCTCAACTCTGAACACAACAAGGATACATGAGAATTTTTAGCTAAGAGAATGGTGGGGGATGGGTAATTGAATAAAAATTTACTTAAGAGAAGACATCAAGGGTAGGGAGATTCTTGCTAAAGGCAGGCCAAAGACTTATATATCAGAGGTAAGGATGAGGAACTTGATCAAATATCAAGGATGATCAGATATCAAGGATTTGGGGATGATTTATCAGGATTCTTTGCTAAGACTGGAATGGGCAGGCAAAGGACAAAATGGGCACCAAGGCCAAGGCTTTGTCAAACAGAGGATTCGGTAGAGTCATGAAGAGAGCCTTTATCAAGCTCTTTTTTTGAAGGTAGTTGCAAAGTTTCTCATTGATCATGGCATTCCCAAGGTGCAATACAGTCTTAAGACAGAGTAAATGCTCATTAATATTTATTGAATGATCAAATGAAGATTTAAAAAAGCCCTAAAATCTAAGGCTTAAAGCAGATAAGTAGCTT